AATTCATCAATACAAAATTTTAAAGAATTCTTTTTTAGAATATTTATTTTTGTCATGACATCTCATCAAAACTTTCCAGATAGCCTTGCTACTGGTATGACGCAGCACTTTATAGTCATTATTAAGCTGTTCAATAATGGTTCACATTTATCTGCCAGTTTTACCAGTATTTTATCAGCAAAAATATAAAAATGCTTGTTTTCGTGTTAGGAATATCTTTCATTCAGATTAGATTTACATTATAATAATTTGGTTTACACAACTGATATGTACATGTATACATGTATAAGCCCAAAAATTTGCCAGCGTTTGAGACTTTCCATCTATTTAGATATTCATGTTTAGAGAGAAGGTTGAGTTCTGGGAAGAGGTGAAAAAAAATTGTGAGCTTTATCATTGTATTATGTAAGTGTGGCAGTACATCAGATAAAAATGTGCCCTGAAAAGCATGGATCTTCAATCAAATGCCTTAATATTCTAAACATGGCATGTAAAATTATATATTGAGGTTCGATTTTTACGCCACATGTTCATGTAGTCCCATATTCACATCTTTCTGTGTACAGTGCTTGTAACCTTACCAAGACTAGACCAAATTTCTTATAATTTTGATGATTCCAGAACCTTGCAGTACACACCAATACTTTTATATGCTAGATGATCAACCTGTCCTGATCGATTCCACAACGTTTCTTTCACAATGCAATCGCATGACCAGAACTTGACTTTATTTTTAAGCTGTTCAATATTGGTTCACATATATCTACCAGTTTCACCAGTTTTAAATGACATTGTTTATTGTGCTCTTCAAACAAAAGCTGATGGAAGACCAAAGAAGATTGTTTTCATGTTACAATTTTTTTTCTTCTATTAAATGTGAAAATATCGAGTTACTTACTCATTCGTTCACTTGCCGATGCCAACAATTTTGCTAAAATGTATTCACTTAGTGTAATCTTTCATTGTGTGCTGAAACTAGCTTGTGTTCAAGAAAATATGTATTTGCTATAATTACTTTGTAATTAAGAGTACCGGTAGTAAGATTCCACTTGCCTGGTTAAAATGTCATCTTTAGTAAGTTTCCTCTTTACCATCGGATGACTTAGTTATGTTACATTCTTTTATATGTAACCTAGCTAAAATAGTCTAATTTTGTTCAAAATATGAGATTCAGGATTTTGGTATTTCCTAATGAGGGTATCTTAAACCCTCTGCGTAATTTTAAGCGTCGGAAATCATGTGTACATGTATGTAAATATGATATTTGTTTTAATCAAATGAAAATGATAATTTTACAGCATTTCAATAGAAGCTGTTCTTTGTAGTGGCCCATTTTCTCCCTGACTTTGACTTTAAATCTGCTTCAGCAATGTTCTAAATCTTGGGTGCTCGTTTTGAGAGGGTTTACTTATTTGAAAAATTATGCACCATTTTAAGATATTGACTTCTACTTTAATGTCATGTGAAAATCAGCACAATCCTTTTTTTGACCTATTGGTCATTTTGTGGTGTAAGGTCACATATGACATTGTCCAGTATCGTTTTGTAACAAATCATTGTAACACAGTAACCCAAAAAAATTATATAAGTTTTCAAATGAACACATTGTTAATAGTTCCAAAAGTTGAACAAGATGGGCCATATTTCCTCTTTTACAATTGTTATACCTGCTTGTAAGGGTTTCAGGGTACATCCTATATTTATTGTTACTCAGGTTTAAAGTCTTTTTGGGAGGGGTGGGTGGCTTTTAGTATAGAAGTGGTTGAAATAAAAGGCTTTTAATTCTGATCCTTAGGCCATTTTGTTCAATTATTCAAGGAGATGGTCTTGTTATTGTGTGTAGGGAGGGATATGGGTGTATAGGTGTGAAAAGGCATTTTATAAACATATGTCCATATTGATCCAGTTATTTGCAAGATGTTCATTACCATTTGTAAGTTTGTTATGTTTGTCTCATTAAGTCAGTGTTAATTACAATTTTTTTCCCCTCTCAAACAGTACATTTCAATTTCAATTGAAGAAATATAGTTATAGGTTTTTTGTATCAAACAATTGCTGGAATTATAGAGTTAAAATAGAGACCATCTGAAATGCATTACAATAAAGGGTACAAACAAGAAGGGGAAGAACTTGTTTTGACTGACTAGCCAAATACCTATAATTGGGATACAACTTGTTACCTTTCAAACAAATCAAATGTTTGCAGTTGGTAAAATTATCTTTGTATATTTGTGTGATTTTTTGGGGTCATGCCCTCTTTACAGTTTTTATTATTACAATATATGCAATAGGACCTCAACTCAGGAAAAAAAAAAATCTTGCATACTCAGATACCTTGCCATATTTGTTCTTATTACTGACAGCTTTATGGTGTTGTGGTCAGTGTAATGGTACTCTTAATTGAAATATTTTAGTCTTTCCTTTTTATTCCTCATTAGCCTATACCTCATACATATAAGCTTGCTATCAAGGTGGTAATACCATGGTGAAACCATGGTTAAACCATGGTTTTACTGTACCGTGGATCCATTGTAAACCATGAAATAACAGGAGTAAATTGGAACAGACATATTATGGTAAAACCATGGTTTTACTGTAGTTTTACCATGGTTTTGCCGTGGTCATACCATGGTGAAACCAAGGTGAAACCATGGCTTTACTGTACCATGGATCCATTGTAAACCATGAAATAACAGGAGTAAATTGGAACAGACATATTATGGTAAAACCATGGTTTTACTGTAGTTTCACCATGGTTTTGCCGTGGTCATACCATGGTGAAACCAAGGTGAAACCATGGTTAAACCATGGTTTTACTTTGCGGTACTTTGCGGTTTAACCGTGGTAAAACCATGGTTTTACTGTACCATGGATCCATTGTAAACCATGAAATAACAGGAGTAAATTGGAACAGACATATTATGGTAAAACCATGGTTTTACTGTAGTTTTACCATGGTTTTGCCGTGGTCATACCATGGTGAAACCAAGGTGAAACCATGGTGAAACCATGGTTAAACCATGGTTTTACTTTGCGGTACTTTGCGGTACTTTGCGGTTTTACCGTGGTAACACCTTGGTTTTACCATGGAAAAACCACAGTTTAACCATGGAAAATCCATGGAAAATCCATGGTAAAACCATAATATGTTTGTTCCAATTTACTCCTGTTATTTCATGGTTTACAATGGATCCATGGTACGGTAAAACCATGGTTTTACCGTACCATGGATCCATGTTTTTTTTTACAAGGGTTGAGATATCATGATAACAATCTCAATGTATGGAATTTCATAAGTTGACCTCTGTGACCCTTGACCTTTGACATACGTGCTCCAAAATCTAATCAGATCGTCTTCCTATGGTGATACATACTATCCTTAAGTTTTAAGTTTAAATCTCAAATGGTTCTTGAGATATCGCGCTAACAAACTCAATACAAGGAATTTCATAAGTTGACCTCTGTGACCTGTGACCTTTGACCTACGTACTCCAAAATCTAATCAGATCGTCTTCCTATGGTGATAAATACTATTCCCGAGTCTTAAGTTTAAATCTTAAATGGTTCTTGAGATATTGTGATAACGGTCAAACGGGACGGACGGACGGACGTACGGACGGACGGACGGACGTACGGACGTACGGACGTACGGACGGACAACCCGAAAACATGATGCCTCCGGCACCACCTTCGGTGGCGGAGGCATAAAAATGCTTTTCTTCAGAAAATACCCTGTATTCTTTTATTTCTGCAGTATTTCGTCAAGCATCTTCATCAACTCGTTTAAGTCAGGTACAAGTTGCTAAGATTTATCGACTGCAAGTACTTCTTTGAAGGAATAAAAAAAAAAAAAAAAAAAAGCTATGTCTGGCACAGCTGATTGCTGGCATTGGTCTGTTTCGTTTATATGTGGTTACCCAACAACAAAATAGACAAAAAGGATATGAAAAATTATCATTTATGCCTATATATTTAAATTAACAAGTATTCTAAAAATATATTCCCCTCCTCATGTATGAAGTTGAGGATTGCAAACCTAAGATAAAATACCGGTAGTCCAAAAGAGGCAAATTGTCATTGATAACTTCCTATATGTGTTCTGGTCCAATAAATCACCTTGGGGTAAACGTTTGAAGAGGAAATATTGAATATTCACATCCCGCAAACATATCTATGTACATTTGTTTGTTTTCATTTAATCTCATTTGATTGGCAACTATCTCAACAAGCAAACCCTAACTTAGATAATCCACCACGCACGTTACAAGAAATAATTGTATGCTCGAAAGGAAAATCAGAAGATTAATCACTCAATCAACCAACCTCACAAAAATATCAGTCGCAAAAATACTACAGTAATTGTTTTATCCAAAGGATGGTTGTTGATGGCCTTTGAAAACAAATATTCCTGACAAATTCTGACCAAAATAATTCTACCTTTGAAAGGCATTTTCTGTCAACAAGGTGATTTTGCAATATTTATTTCCTGTTTAAGCTGGCTTTTAAGTGTCTGTCGCCTCTTCTTTTGGAGATGTAGGATAGCGGTGCGGAAATAACAAGATTATCTGCTGCAAAATCACAAAGTGTCTAAGATGATTTCAATGGAATATTAAAATTGTTGTATCAGTTTGGCTTGATTTCGTATTCGTACTTGATCATTTTAAAAGCCTTTTTTGATAACTTCCTAGGTTCTATCAGCAATTTTTTTAAATTAGATTAGTCTTTTAGATTTCATTCAGAAAAAAAAGTGAGCTTAAGGATCAAGTGGGATTTTAGGAGGGTTGAATCTTTTTTATCCAGAACATGATGAGGAAAGAAAGTGGATTTTACAGAATGTGTACCATGATATACAGCATAAAAGTATGATAATGCACGTTTAATAAAGGGTTATAACATGTTAAACAACTTCTCTGATATTACAGAACTTCATCATCATCATCAATTCACAATCATCGATGCACAGAGAGGTAAGCATGCTTTCTGCTCTAAGATTTGGATTTGATTGAAATGGAGAGTCATTGGGGCTTACCTCCAGCACATGATACAGAGCACTCAGTAACTCCTGTCTCCATCCAGATGTACAGGGCTTCCGGATTCACCGCAGGGTCAGGCTCTCCAGGATTCCTACCAAAAGTGGCTTCATTGCCTTGCCCCTCCTCTGGGATGCTGGAGCTGTAGTCTTCGCTGGCGTAAGTATCGACTTCCTCACCGCCGATGGGAACAACAGGTCTAGGAACTCCACTGTTGAATGGGCTGTAGTTGGTCTCGGGATTCTCCTGTCCAAAGACGGGTCTGGATGGTGGTTGCTGACCAGGGTTGGGATAGACGCCAATCTGTCCGCTGGTTTGAGGAAGGTTGGAGGAAGTCTGTGGAGGAAGGTTTGGAATGGCATCCGGGTTTGGTCGGAATGGATAACGGTCTGGTCTGGTTTGGGTTGGTACCCCCTGGCCTTGACTTGGGAACCCTTGTCCAATATTTGGTCGCCCCTGTCCGAAAGTAGGTCGCTCCTGCGGCTGCCCAACTGCTGGACGCCCATATCCTGTTTGAGAAGGTGTACCCTGGCCATTTATAGGATTTCCTTGTCCTGTAGGGTTTGATGATACTCCTCGACCTGGCACACCCTGGCTGCCATAAGGAGGCAAGCCCTGATTAGTAGGTGGTCTGTAGTTAGGATTGTATACTATATCACCAGTTGGTTCACCACCTTGGTTAGGGTTTCTGTTACTCTCCCCACCTACTCCTGGATTCCTGCTCCCTGTAGGAGGAAGCCTGGACTGAGGATTGTTATTTGTTCCAGGAGTGAACCTACCACTGGTTACTCCAGACTGAGCAGTTGTTTCTATGTTCTGATATGATGATCCCCTTGAACTGTTGTTGACAGGTGTTCCTCTACCACTTGGTAGATTTGGGCTATAGTTGAACGGCCTGCTGTTGGCTGAGGAAACCGGTGGATTTGAAGGAGGATTAATACCTGTGGGTCGATTGAAAGATGACTGAGACGCTACCTGAGAATTACTTGATACAGGAGGAATGGCATCAGTCTCAGGTAACCTGGTTTCAGGGGGGTTGTATCCAGTGGGGTAATATCCATAAAAAGGGCGTGATGGACTGGTTCCTCTTTGACTATCTAAACTTGTTCCAGGTGTTTGTCTGTCTGTGTTTCCAGAAGATGGTCCACGTCCTAGTTGAGGATTTGAAACATAAACTCCTGGCACATTTCCTGTTGCATCTCCTTGACCTTGTTGTCTTGGAGTTTCCCCTGGCCCTCTCTCTCTGCCACGCAGGATCTCAGTCTGTGTTTGTGTTACGCTGCCAGAGGTCTGACTTGGGACATAACTAGTATCACGTCCACGGCCTGTATTTGATCTACCAGGATTAGAAGCTCTACCGCCCCCAGGAACGGTCTCTACAGGAGGTCTTTGACCTTCTGGAATTGCAGGATTGTTTCTGGGTCCTGACCCTGAGACTCCACTTCCTCCAGACACCAAAGACCCTTCTGGTCTGTTGTAGTATCTACCATCTGGACCTGCCTCTAGAGCCTGGCTCTCTTCATGCACTTGATCTGATTCTGATATGGTATCCATAACTCCTGCATATCCTTCGGGTTTTTCCTTGTTACCCATGCCATGCCCCGGCATTACACCACTCGATATGCTCATATCCTTTTCCCCCTTATGCTTAGGTTGCTCCTCTTGGAAGGGAGCATTTGTGTTTGCCGGTGGTGGAGGTGGCGGTGGTGTTGTGGGAACAGTTGTTGGCCTTACTGTACGGCGAGTTGTAGTCCTTGCAGTTGTGGTTGGAGGCATTGTGGTTGGAGGATTTGTACGTCTAGTAGTTGTTGGTGGAGGTTGAGTTGCTTTGGGTTGCCCCCTTGGGTTCTGTCAGAAGAGAGAAGTAGAAAGAATTTAGATTTTTTTTTCTTTCTCATTCTTTCAACAACAATCTAAAAATGTATAATTTTCAGATTATATTAAAGTGAAATTTCTTAAGATGAGGAAAGATTATACTTATTCAAGGGATCATACATTGCTTCCACACTGTCAACACATTTAGAATCATTTAATGCTATTTATCTACATGCAGTCCCCTAAAATGCTCAGTCACACATAAATATATTTGAATTTCTGCTAAAAATCATCATCTGCTTCTGGTTATCATTTTAATGAAACATACAAATGGCAATAGGGCTTTCATACCACAAGTTTCACTCATGAAAATCCAGGGATCTATTAAAGCTTTTTCTAAGAAACATGATATCTTCTTAAAAGGAAATCCAGAACTTTCACTTCATATTTTTTTTAAATCCCATCACCAAAGAAATTATTTGTCATCAGGCATGCGTATCCTCTGGCTAATGAAGAATGGCAGTTTGTTCGTTTTCAATGCCCCCATCAATAACAAACAACAAAAGACACAAGGTTAGAAAAGGAAGCAATTGTTATGGGATTTGTGAAACATCCTTCTATATCCTGCATTGTAAATGATTTGTGTCTGAAGTGTGAGCAAAGTGTTAGCTCTTCAAAAGTACATACATATGAAGTCAATTTATGACAAGTGACTTGAAGATTAGTTTGTGAAATGTCCCTATAAGGCGTGTCTGCACTATCTCGAGATTGCCAAATATCTCGAGATTGCCAAATAGCCCGCTATTTGGGAAATAATCCCGAAGTAACAAATCGCGTCTTCACTATCTCGAGATTCGACCTCGAAACTCAAAACTCGACCTTGAGAAATTAGCTCGAGACATTTTGCTCAGCGTTAGCGTGTATTGCGAATCTTCGGTCTAGTGAAGACGCACGGGACAAATAGCTGGATATTTTGCCAATAAAAAGGATATTTTGCAAACTATCCCAAGATATCTTGGGATATTATCCCGACCAACTATCCAGCTAATTTGCTACTTCGTTCTAATGAAGACGCAAATAGCTGGATAGTTTGCGATCGGGATAGTTCAAATAGCTGGATATTTGGCAATCTCAAGATAGTGAAGACGGGCCTTTTGTGTAAGAAACTAGTTGTAAATCCACAGGGGATCTCTCCTACCAGATGGTATGATGATAACATTTTCTATTTCACAAAAGGTGACAATTTATCAAGATTATGGGACATTCTGTCTCCCCAATTGTCATATTGGCTCAATCATGCGTGCACAGACACAAGGACTTGTCACAAATATTATGAAGTTACTTTGATCAACACAAATCTTGCTTATATTTGGAGAGCACAGACATATGCTTTAAATACCAAAACTTTTGGTGCGGTTATAAATAGTAAACAAATCAAATTGAGGATGACAACAAGAAGATATTCAGAAATCTTAAAATAAATGGGCTTGGAAGACACTTCCAGCACGATTGTTTAAAAACTTGCTTTAAACAATGTACACTGTTTAGTCACTCTATTTCAATGTTAGATTTCAGTATACAAGACTAGGAGAAATGGGACACAATGTATAATTTATACAATTCTTTAAAAATCAGTCTTTGAGATATGAGCATTATGCTCAGCATATTAGCTATTGTTTGTCTCTTATTCCTATTTTTAACAGCAGCTTTTAAATCATAAATCATTCTCCATCAGAGAGCCTAGTATCCAAAACCGGTGGCAGCAGTGGGATACAGTGTTTAATCCGACTATTCTTCTGAATATAAAACAAATAACAACTAAAACAACTTGAATATGTGAGAATCAGGTTAAGTGCATGAGCTACTGTTTTGCAGCTTGCTTTGAGACATGTAAAATGGCACTCCTTTCTATTTCAGATCTCAATATACAAAACAAGTGGTGGGAGTAGGATAGTGGGGGTAATTTGACAATTCCTTTGATGATATGACAAAGAATATTTGGATAATGCTCATCACGTTTACTTCTTATCCTGCTGCTGCTGGCCTACTTGGCTATTTCTCTGTCTACCATTTTACAGCTTGCTTTGAATTTTGAAAGAAAGTCATTTTCAAATCTCATTTTGCATAAATGGGTGAAGGAGTAGGAAATAACATTTCTTGTGAGAATACAACAGAAAACAACCAACAAAATCATTTCCAAGTGAAAATATGCTCAACACATCAGCTATTGCCCTGTTAATACTTCCATACTGCCTTTTCCTTTGTTTTTTATTTCCACGACTGCATTGCTTTGAAGCAAGCTTTAAAACTTGGCAAAACCGGTGGCAGTGGTGGGATCGATACAGTGTGTAATTTGACAATTCCTCTGACGATATGACAAGAAACAACTAAAAAATCTTGAACATGTGAGAATCATGCTTGCTTTTAAAAATGTTAAAGGGCACTTTTTTCCCTTTCAGATCTCAATATGCAAAACCAGTGGCAGGAGTAGGATAAAAGGTGTAATTTGACAATGTGTTCCTTTGATGATATGATAAAGAACAACTGAAAACTTTGGTACGTGTAAGAATAATACAACAGGAAACAACCAACAAAATCATTTGCAAGTTTTAAAAAAAACATGCTCAACACATCAGCTTTACCCTGTCATTACTTTTCTTTTGTTTTTTATTTCCATGCTGCATTGCTTTAGAGCTGGCTTAAAACTTAGCAGAACCGGTGGCAGCGGTGGGAACGATTTAGTGTGTAATTTGACAATTCCTCTGACGATATGACAAGGAACAGCTTCCTCACTAACCTGCTGTGATGTCTGCCTCCCACCTTCCTCCTGCCGTCCTGGTGGGGGACGCTCTTCCTTCTGCCCTGGAGGATTCGGAACGACATACTCGTAGGAGATTCCAGGATTCCTTTCCTGGTAAATCATCTGCATCAAGGGTATAAAAAGGATTGGCTTCATCTGTCCTAACGTTAAAGAGCATCTTCATCATCATCAACACATTTTATATTACACATTTTACATCACTATCTAATGTCCATTAGCAAAATAATGGGAAATAACATTAAACTAGCATATGAACAGGAAATCACATTTTGTAAGTCTTTTGAGATGTAACAATATATATCCTCCACATTATTAAGTATTCATAAAAGGCAATCTACAACATACAAAATGTCTTAGGATTAATGATTGGAAAAGATAAATAAAATTCTACCTCTGATTGTGTCAGCATCTAAGAAAATATCTCTGGGGGAATGATAAACTAATATGACATTGAAATATTAATTCCCATCACAAAGCAAAGCAATAAATTGAAATGATTGAAATATGACGTATAAAGTTTTTTAATGATATTGCCACAACAGTCACTACCCACCGGATATTGAATAGGTAACATGGTGATAAGTGCATTAGTATATATCCCTCAACATCGTGTTACAATTATTGAATGTGACATTTCATTGATCACATAATAAGTCAATGTCAAATATCAGCACATTGCTGTACAACATTCTACTTTTGACTGATTGATGTAACAGCTCAAGCAAGTAACACATGTCTCACACAATGCGTAGGAAGTGACGCATGTACATGAACAATGAAATATTTGAATTTTACACAAAGTTGCATTGACAGCTCCAACCATTTTATCTTCCCTTTTTTATTTTGCATCATTTCATTGCCCTGGGATCTATGACTAAGGAATAACTGAATGCCATAATGTTTCAAACGTGAAGCTGACATTCAATCTTAGTCTCATGACAGAGACGTTCAATCCACAATTTCATGCCTTGTGCAAATCACCGCTATTTCTGTCGCAATGTGCAGGTGTAAAAAGAACTATGCGACACAGCGGCCGATACCCCATTTAGAATCTCATTAAATGTCACTGAGAATCCCCGCATAAACAGGAACCAATACTCCTACATGAGCTCTAAGCCTTGATGACAAGTTGGAAGTAAGATTTCCCCCATGGGTTCTTTCTGCAAATCAAGTTTTATACCCATCATGAACATTTATATATAGAACATAGATTAGATCACTCTTTCTGCACGTGTAATTGCCTTGTGTAAACTGACTATCTTGATGTTCGATATTAGTCTAAGTAAGGGTCCAGTAAATTGCTGTTTAAAAGAAGAATGTGTGGGATTGGACTTGGCAACAAGTGTAGGACAGAAAATTTAATATCTTTACATCAGGTAGAACAAAAGAGAGCCAAATCGACTGTGGGAGGAAGGTTTGAAGATGATGAAAGAAAAATATGCATATGAAAAGAAAAACTGAAACGAGTACCAATTCTAGGATAAACAAGCAGAGGTAACACATCAAAACTAAAATCAGCAATGTCATGTACAAAAAGTGTATTGAAAACTGAAAAGGATGCAATAGGGACATGTTTAAGGTGCAAAAGGTTTCTCCTTTTTCTTCCTTCTTCTCCTAAAAGAAGATATGAATATTGGGCTGGAAGAAAGCTGGAAATTTATGAGATATCTAGCAGAAAACAAATAAACAGATGCTCACTTACGAGTCACAGAGTCATCAATTTGCATCTGATTACTACTTCAGAAATTCTTGATTCTCCTATCTTTATTGAAATTTCCTCAAACTCATTATTTCATGTTTCTGATTGCAAAACCAACTTCATATCAGAATGTATTTTGGCTCAACTGCAGGTTTGAATAAAACTAGTAATATGACTCTCATACCTTTACATCTAGATCGACAGCGGTTGGACCCATGATGAGAATCTGTTCTCCATTGCTACTCATACTCCTTGCAGACCTGGTGTACATCACATTGGTGCCAGCAGCAGAGTAGTTTCCTGGGTAGTCGATGCTCCAGTCTCCATTGAAGACGGAGACTCCTCCTGTGATCTGGAGACCTGGAGAAAAGGGAGAAACACATGATAGGCATTTTATTATCTGGATTATTAAATAGTCAGGATGGTACAGTGGATAGAGCAGTGCCCTTTAAACCAGAAGGTCCTGGGTTTGAACTGTGGTTGGTGTATGAGTGTCCTTTGGTACAACATCAATCCTCAGTTAAAGGTACCTGGTGTGGTCCAGCAGTTGCTAATTATCGTATATACTTGCTTATAGAAAATACTTGCTTTTTTCTGTAAGATTGTATTTGGGTAAATGATGATAATAAAAAAATAACAACATGAAATCATGTGTATTCTTTGAAGAAGCTCAAGGCTGGTTAAAATCTGTTAAAAGACTTAACACAACATATGTTAAAAAGGTGAGTATTCTATTCTTTTTCTCTGAATCATTGTCAATAATTTACAATGATATATTATTTCTTCATTAAACAATTAGTATTGCCAAGTTTTAATGTGCAAGCTTTTTTTAGAGGTCTTTTTGGGGGGTTGGGGAGATAACAACTTTATAATCTCACTCAGTTTCACAAAATGTGAACATTTGTCTCATAAGCGTAAAAAAAGTACTCTCACATTCTGTGAACTATTCAGAGGGTAAGAATATATACAAATTGAAAACAACATCTTGAACTACTTGATGAGTTCAATGTGCGGATCTTTGAACCTGCCAATCCGCTTTATTTCATTCTCTTAAACAGGTGAAATCCTTGATACACAGGTTGTAATGTTGTTATGTGGGTTATTTATTAGTGGCTCCTTAAAGACTGAGTCGAGTTCAAGTTATGTGATTACACCATGAAAGAACTGTCTGGAAGCAATGTAGTACGTAAGAATTGATGAATTATATAAGGTTTTAGAATGATCAAAATGAAGCGAAATTCAGAAACAGAATGGCATTAACTCAACACTTTAATAACGAGTAAAAGCCAATCTGGCTCCAATAAGATGGTATTCATACTGACATCCTCATGTAGCAAAATTAATTTGAAGTTTAAAACTCCTAATTAGGATATTCTTGTGTGGAGGTACAAACAGAATTCATACTTCCAAACTGAAATATATGCAAATTTCCTTTCCTTATCATTAAACACCTAAGTTTCTAATCTGAGATGATGTTTGATTGCTTTTTTTTACAAAAAATATAGGCCTACATTATTCAATAACAAAGGACCATGCCTAAATGTTGAATTTAACCTTTAATTATGTTCTGAAACTTGTAAACAAAAAGCCCTTCATAAACAGCTTGAAATGTTGTTAAATTAGAGCATTACTACAACTTCTTGGCAGAGGCAGCCAAAAAAATAAGACTTCGATTAAATTGCCTGTAGTTGTGCCTTGACATTGAAAGGCCTTTAGGAGTATTGAATCACTCTTCGGGTTTGGGCTATTACCAGCGGGGAAGAGGGCAGGCAAATCAGATCTTGAGTAGCAACCCTTGGGGCCAGCCAACATCGTTCATCAAACTTTAAGAAACGGTAGCTATGTTCGCATGGGACCGACTGTCATAGTTTTAAAATTTAAAGCCTGTCTGTACTAGTTTGGCCAGGGGGGATTAGACCTCCATGCAAGGTCACTGACAGGTGGGTATCTTATCAAATCAGCTCTCAATTAACATAAGAAAAAGAGGATCATGGGGGACCAACAGGCACCGATTAGGCATTGTTTGCTATAAAGAGGGAGCAAGTAGCTATAAGTAGTGCAGTGGGGCTTTAAGTTTACGAAACTTCAGAGTTTTAAACAAAGATCAACTATCAAAGATGTGGGTTCACATGAGACCAAAACAATGAGTGTTCAAAGTTTTAATTTTGTTGTCTTGTTTATGGGTGGTCAACTGCCTAACAACTTACGATGAAACTCTTGAACGTGAACAAAAAACAATGGTTTTGCACTTTTGCTTACAGTGTAAATGTGTAAATGCAGCTAAGAATAATATGAATAAGTTTAAGTTTAAAGGTCCCCTCGTCTTTCATTTTTTCCTCACTTAAATGCATTATATGAACTTGTTCCTTTAATATAAGCGTTCCTTTTATATACTCTACATGTTATAAATTTGTTAAATTGTATTATATGCATGTTGGAAGAAAGACATATAAAGTTGAACTTGAACTTGAATAAGTTTAACGTTTTGAAACGATGAGTGCATCCACATTGTCCTCAACTACACGATAATCTTGGAGTTTTAAACCACAGGCTCAACTTTAAGTTCACACACTCTTGTGTGAACCCAGCCATTGAAAGGAGAGAGTGATGGACTACAGTTTCAATGTTTTCTGATAACCAGAAATGACTGGGGACAAAATTGATGAGTTGTAATATTGACCCTGCAATGTATACATAATGATGATTTTTTTTAAATATATAATTTTGAAGGATGATGGAATAGATTGATATCATAAATATGTTTTCCTGTGTATTTCTACATTTTATTAGTGTACTGACAGACATGACTTCAGAGTTGGCAAGTCTATATGTAAAAATTGCTGAGTAGGCCATCAAATATAAATGGTAAATATGTACAATTTATAGATGGAAGGAAAAAAGCTGACATATGCATTGTGAAGAAAAAAACTCCTTCAATAGAGGATTAAGAATTGAAAAATGAAGGTAAATATATAACTAATGAAAGATTTCAAATCCTCAAAGGACTACTTTGATGAAATTGATGATATCGACTATGAACATAATAAAAACCTATGAAAAAACCAGTTGACCAGTCAAGTATAAAATGTTAAATGTTGTCATATTCTAAAGATTATTATACTGAATAATAATTCTTTTATTTCGATGGCAAGAATCAAGAAATGTCCCCAGTATTTTCTCATCTTACCTAGATAGTTTCTACTCCTGGTCATCTCAGTGATGTTGACATACATCGACCCGGCTGGAATCGTGATGACCGTGTGGTAGCCAATGGTCATCTTGGGGGTGTCCAGTACACCAGAGAAGATCTGACATTCCGTGTTTGACCCACCGCATACGCCACACTTGTCCTCCGACAGACCTGACCCCAGCACTCCATCACAACCAACAATCTGGAAAATAGAATAAAATATTAGAGTAAATTATACAATCTTATTCAAGAAAGTAAATTTCCAAAGGGTAAGTGAATCAAGTTCACAGGGGAGAATCAGAATAAACAAGGGAGATTGTTAGGTACACTTTACACACTTACTGTAAGACCTAAAAAAAAGATTTTGTATTGCCCTTCGCGACAGACCCAAACATCTTTTTAAACATTTTTTTTTAGAGAAAAAATATTAAAGCATTTAAAACTGAGAAATATCAGCCCAAAGAGGGAGAAAAAAGAAGAAAAAACAAAACTTTTGACCAACCGACCCATGTTTTGGCACCTAAAGGGCAATACAACATCTTTTTTTAAAATACCTAATGGTATCTGTTATTCAGGAACATGGAATGAATTTCTGTCACTTCTATAACAACATGTATCAGCATGACTATCCAAACCAAACTTTGTTTGACTATATAAACAATCTTTGAAACACAACTCAGACACCATCATACTGTCAAATGTTTTCTAATAATAAAATGTTCAAACATGACATTTCGGGTCCAAAGCACCCCGACAATGTAAACATCACATTATGTCAAATTTGTCAATCCAGTTTTCTTCTTTGAATAGTTTAGACAATCAGAAGACGCTGCAATACTTAAATATGACATTTAGAGTTTAAATAAACATCATCACATAAAGAAGTTTTATTCATTGAATTGTGTATTCAATTTGAACAAGTTGCTTTCCAAGTGGGAGGCCAGATTCAAGATAACTTATACTGAACCCACCAAACATTTCTGAATGTTCTTTCATGCTACAGCATCAACCAATTTCTAGACTTTATCATGAATACTGGAAACTAAAAGGGATAACTGGAGGGGGAAGTGTTCGATTGTGCACACTATTTCTCACAATTTAGGATGACACGTTTAATAATTTCATTGATACTTTGAATTATATCATTGAGCCCGTAATTGCCCTTCATTGATTAGTCTTTGCCATTAGATTCTGTCACCCTGCCAGGTATTTTTCACCTCCCATACAGGTAAGGTTCAGATAATGGTCACGGTCCTTACCCAGTCAAAAGGGCTGTCACTTTTTGTAGTGTGAGGGGGGGGGGGGGGTGCACCCCTTCCCCTTTCAATTTTTTTTTACAGGGATTTTGCAAATATACATTCCTTGGCAATATTTTTTATCGGCAGTTTTTTAAAATCTGAAGACCCTTCCTAAAACCTCTCCTCCAAATTTCAGAATCTGAAATTCAAAGGACAAGACTCTTATTTTTCATTTTCCATAAACTGAAGCTGGGCCTACAGGTACTAGTATATTCAAGAGTATAAAAGTCAGTAAAATTTGTCTCAATGGCGACACCTCCTCCATTTATAATATTCCTTTGGTACCCCTTTGCCTGGTATTATAAAGCTTATTTATTTAACCTGGCCCGTTGAGAGGGTGAGTGAATGACGGATAACATTAATGACTGCCACCTGCCACATTGAACCGAGTACCTGTTGCTGACACAGAACTTGACAAAAGTGCACACAAAATGACATTTATACTACCCCACTTATCTAAACAGTAACATGACTGTTGCATGAACAAGTTTCTGTAAAAACAAACAATGATCATTTTACAAGGTCATAGAATTCCATGATTATACATGCTACTGTTTGAAAAAGAGGCCTTCATAACAAAATGAAAGATATAATCTGATGAACTGAAAGTCTTCAAAGAAAATAATCATTCTACAACAGCGAGAAATGTGTACATGTTTTAGTTATCATCCTAAGAGCATAAATATTACACACAAAGAAGAAAAGCAGAAAAAAATCAGGAGTAGATTGTTGAAGTTTCAACAAACAACAAGAAAGTTATGAATTTTTGAAAGCTGTAATCACCATATATAAGGGAATTTAAAATTGGCTAAATCAATGATGTTTCTGTGATGTAGTGGCAGACAACTCTCCAATTGTTCCAACACACAAATTTACTTAAAGGTAAAGACCAGTTATGGTCATGCGATTGCATTGTGAAAGAAACGTTGTGGAATCGATCAGAAAAGGTTGATCATCTAGCATCTAGCATCTGCAAGGTTCTTGAATCATCAAAATGATAAGAAATTTGGCCCATTCTTCGTAAAGTTACAAGCACTATACACAGAAAGATGTATATGGGACTACCCTATATCTCTCACAGACCATGAGAGAAACAAATTTACCAAATATATGAATTAGTAGGCGGTTTCCCGGCAAATTTTTTATCATCATGTATTAGTCAAAACATATTCTTTCACAATGATTGGTAATAAGAGCTTCCATTTCATTTTTTGAAATTGGGGCGTTTCCAATACTGGTCTTTACCTTTAAACCTTAGTTTTTCTTTCAAAATTCATTACCCAAAACTTCAGAAAGGTCTTTTCTTTGTAGGGGACCTATAATAATATACTATCCTTTTACATATTTTCAGTAGTGTCCCAAGGGAGGAGGTGTTTAGAAGAAAAACTGAAATTAATATTTCAGTATATTATGAAATACAGAAGAGTTGATCGTGTATGTCACAATCCACCAACCAAATTGCCTGATTGAGATTCACATAGATTTAATGATTTCATTTTTCAAACATTCACAACTTTCTTACTATTTCCTATTTGTTCGATGAACTTAAAACGTTTGTCATTCTGTCTAGTTTCCTGCTTTCAAAAAAAAATAAACTTATTAAAAAGTTTAGACTGCCCTCTAAGTACGAAATTGAGCTAGAGGCAAAGAATGGGATAATGAGGAAATTGCTTGTCTCTTTTTTTTCGGAGCCTATACATGGAAATCCATCAGTTCTTTTAGATCTATAACTACATTTAAAATTTGTCTGTCAACAGCCAAACAATCCCCTGTGTTTTGAAAAATGCAATAACAGCATCGAACGAAACATAATATTCTCTAAATGATTAGGTATTTAAAGAAAATTGAAGTCCACTCTGACACTGATGATCAACAATTATTTCTCCCATATTCAACAGTTAGTCAGACAAATAGCTGCAGCTCATGACGCAAGTAGAGAAAGTTTGGCTTTCAAAAATGCCAACCTCTGACCTTGAGCGATCGTCCTTTGAACTATATCTGAAATCTAATGGCATTGCTGAGGGCTATCAAATGATCCCCATCATTATGATTACTTCCGATTCTCTGTCAACGTTTATAGTTTCCATCAGCAGAAAAATAGGGCAAAAGAATAGGAAGTCTAATTTCAAGGGAGTGATCACATTTTAATACCATTTTTTTTAAAGGTATGAGGTAGCAGCAAAAATTGACTCTGTCCATACACAATGTCCATTTATCTCCCCCCCCCCCCCCCCCCCCCCCCCCCCCCCCCCCCCCCCCCCGATTTCATGAGAAAGACATATATTTGTCAGCTGGTCCGCATGAAACTGACACTTACAACAAATGAAGACTAGATTAATAATTGAAGCGAGACTTTAGATAGAGCCAAAACTATTTGATGAATTACAACACAAGCCTTGTTTCTTGGAAAACAACATTAAAATAAAAGCATGAGAAATCCTCAACATTTGAAATTGTCAACTTTAAAAACTAGCTTCTTTGAAAAACATTTGTATCACTACCCGACAGATACAATTTATGTACTGATCAAAATGCTAAAGCAAACAATTCATTGTCAAAAAGAAAATCCTAACTTTAGGTTGAAAATTGTGATAAAATCATGAAATAGCATACACTCACTCTGTGTGTGAGAAGGGTGTTGAATTCATTAATGCTCTAATTGTGTTTATATTACCAAAGGGGAAATTATATTGTTTGTGAAATAATAGAATCGGTACATGGCAAAATCTCAGCAATATTCTTGCTTTCTTAACTTGTCACTCCAATGTATTACTGTTGACCCTTGAGGCTGAGTTATTATTCTGGTATTACCAAAAGAAAATGATATTTTTTGGGGGGGAAAATAACTGACAAAAAGCAAGTAGTTCTACAAACCCTTCATGAATAAAAATATTATGGGCGCAATCAGCATGTAACAATAGCAACTAAGCACTATATACTCTGGGTTCGTAGAGTAGCCCTACACATGTATACCATCCTAATCCGGCTATCCCTTCATTGGAATGTGGAAAAATTTAGGCCAGTATGATATGAATTATGATTATGAAATTGTAAAAATGTACATTTCTTGAAAACAAATAAACTTCTTTATCATCAATATAAAATATTGATGGCAAGTGAAGGGTTCTTTATCAGAACAACAATAACCAAACAAACTGCTAAATTCTAACCTGTAAAATACTATAGATACTAAGGTTCATACTTCTAACACAAAATTATTAATGATAATAGCCAGACCAACAATACCATACTGTAAGCATTAAAGATCATATCCCTTCAATCAATTCATTAACTTGCTGGGGAAATTAAAACATTTGAATGATAACCAGGCTGGCATTATTAGGTGGGTAGATTTGAAGATCATATGCAATAAAAATGTAATGTGTTGAGGAAATAGCGTCATTCCATTAGACAAAAACCTGGAGAAAACGATCAGATCTAGCAATTTTTGAAGGACGCTACCCATTTCACACTCCTAAAAGCATATTCACACATGCTGCAGTAAACTGTGTACTAAATAAACGACAAGCAAAAAGGAAAAAGTAGCTGTGCACATTAATAGACCTTGGGGTACTCACTTTAATATCTTTGTGTTACATTGTATGAGATACAAAAATATGAGGTGCATTATACTTGTTAATGAAGTGGGAAAATGTGATTATCAAGAGTGATGGTTCTGATATGTCTTTAAAGCCCATCTGCACTAATTTGGCCAGGGGGATTAGACCCCCTGCAAGGTCACTGACAGGTGGTTATCTCATCAAATCAGCTCTGAATTAACATAAGAAAAAGGGGATCATCGGGGACCATCAGGCACTGATTAGGTATTCTTTGCTATATAGAGGGCGCAAGTAGCTACAGTATAAGTAGTACAGTGGGGCTTTAAAAGTTCACAGTCCCATACAAGTAAAGTAGTAGTGAG